ATTTAAAATTTAATAATTAAGTCTATTAAGGAATTACTAGTAGTTATTAGGAAAATCTTAACTAATTATAAATATTTATAAAAAATATAATAAAAATAGCTATTAAGCTCTAGTTTTAAAATTATTAATATTAAAATTTTAAATTATTTAAATTATATTTTTAATACTTAATATTACTAAGCCTTATTTATATATTTATAATATTAAGATTTTTTTATTAATATTATCTTTTTATAATTATAAGTATTAAATAAAATTATAAAAAATCAATAATTTAAATTTATTATTATATTTTAATTAATATATTAAGTTAAAAAAAGTTAAATTATATAAATAAGTATTTTTTTTAATTATTAATTAAATTTTAAAATAATAATAGTATTTTTATTATATATTTTATAAATTACTTTAAAGAATTTTTATAAATATTATAAAAAATTATATTAAATTACTTATTTTAATATAAAAAATTATAAGTTTAAAAGTATTTTAATATACTTAAATTATTTTTATAATACTTTTATTTAATTTAATATTAATATTTAAATATTCTTTAATTCTTAACTTTTAAGTTTTATATATACTTATATTATATAATAAAGATTATTAAAATATAATAAAATAAAATTTTATATAAATATTTTTATATAAAAACTATATAATAGTTACTTATAGATCTTAAATAAGGCTATATAGGATAAGCTATTAAATATTTTAATTTTATTATCTGTTAGTGCAGGGTGGCCGGTTTCCGGGGGTGGCCGGTTTCCCCGTATCTGACGTTACCGTATCAAATAAACAGTTATGTTGATATAATCCCTAGTGCTACTATACGGTGACCTGGAAGACTCCTCTCGTAATCCATACGCCGAGATCCTGGCTGTGGCCTTGCCTCAAACATTCGGCAGTCCCTCTCAAATGCTACTTGTTGAAGTACCACGGTCAATTACTTGCCCAATGCCCTTGAAAGTCATAAATCAATGGCCAATCTGCGATTACAACAATGACTGCAGATGGCGATGCCCCATGCCCTCAATCTCTAGATAGTCACATCGATGTCCCTCTTGTATCGCCTAGAGAAGAATGTCCTGCCCAGGGAACAGTCAACCCCATATCAAACCAGAGACAGGGTTACTGTAAATGTATCAGTGACAGGTTACCACGTTGGCATTTGAAAGATATTGACACGGGTTACAGAAATAATTGTTAATATTCTGTTCCTGGGGGCTATCCTGAGAACCAAACCGAGACACAGCGTCGTACATCTGCGCAGATATCCATCTTCCCATTGTGTTTCTTCTTCCTTCTGGTCATGCCCGTTCTTGATACACAGGAACAGGGACCCAAGGCCTATCATCTCACATACTACTTGTGCGCCGTTACCAAACCCAACCCTGTATCTCATTCTTAACAATAATGGTACAAATCCAGATGTGAAGCAAACAGGGTGAAAACCTTCGTCCACCCGACACCGCCGTTCTCGGAAGGTCAGCCGTGCCACTGCACTACCAGACCCTTGAATTGCGGCGATAGGGCTGGTGGCAGGATAAGAATGGTAGTCTGTAAGAATAACGAAAGTAGGAATAACATATTAGGCCCAAGGAGTTGGTCCATCAGGCGCCTCATTAAAGCCATGAATTAAAGGTTGATAATATTACCGCAAGCTTCGAGCCGTGATGATAAGTGTCGATGTTGAAAGTGCCGTCATGCCCAAACCGATCCAAAACCGTAACAAAAAGCGCCTCCTGATAAGAGTAAACAACCATATCGCAATCCGGCGATTCCCAAATAATCGAATACTGATGCTTGGTTTTCTTGTTTTTGTTGGGACTGTACAATCATGTGCTCCTTATGCTGAAATAAAAAAGTTCATATGCCAATGTCTCAAAACAAAATCTACTGAGCCTTTTCCTCGACCTTGGCCTTCTTTTGACCAGGCTTGTTGCTCTTGGAGCCCCTGTACTTGGTATCGAGAAGAGTGTCCCAGAAAGTGAAGAAGGGCTGAGCAAAGTTGGTCTTGATGCCCCAGTGTTGATGGTGGATGTCATGGTATGCGGCGTTGTTGCTAGTAACGATCTGAAGAGGGTCCCAGGGGAACGCGTAACCGCAGTGGTCGTCGACTGTCTTGATTGTGGACATTGAGAAGAAGAGGATGCCCTGGCGCAAAGTCATGCGGGTGACCTTGAATGCGACAGCGGCACCGAGTGTGTCGAGCAGGAATCCCTCAACAGGGTGGTTGTAGAGAGCACCATAGGCGTAAGGCACATAGAGACGGTGGTGGCGGGAGTGGAAGTGAACTATTGAAATGAGTTAGCGATCGCGACATTGGAATGGGAGCATGTATGTCGCGTGAAGGAAACTTACCATACAACCACTTGTTAACATGCATCAATCGGTGGAGGAAGTATTGCCAAGTATCGATGATAGCAGCGCCAATAAAGTACTGAACAGCAGGGATCAGGAAGTAGTGGATGGTCTTGGCCAATGTCATCTCCCAAGAGGCGAAAGCAGGTTCAGAGTTCGCGCCCACAAGCGATGGGTAGTAACCACCAGCAACAGCCCCGGCCAGCAGGGGATGAGTGTCAAGGAGACTCTTCGAGATTGCTGTAGCATTGAGACCGACGAGACCGAGCACAGTTGGGAGAGCTCGTTGCGCGATACGAATGCGGGTAGCCCAGACTGCAACGTCATATTCACTCTTTCCAATCATCTCAGGAGGCTCAGACAACGCAAGAAGAGCGCCGGTGACGACCTGGATGATCTGCTGCAGGATAACATCGCGGGCGACCTCAAAGCGGGAGACGTGGTTGCGCTTGGTGATTTCTTCGGGCGTGTGAAGTCGATATTGCGGGAACCAGTCGTTGACGTCGATTGCATGGAATGTCAGGGACAGGACCCAGTACACAACAACAGGGAGTAACAAATTGAGCCAAAAGTCGGAGACCCAAGGAAAGAGATCAGGCTGGACCTCAAGACTAAATGTTGGCAGCGGTGGTAAAGCTGATTCGAAGAGCGTATGGTTGAACGAAGTGCCGGGCACGGCCATGGCGGAGCCGTCGGCGAGAATGGAGCTGTCGTTGCCCATGACGGGTTCAGAAATTAAATTGATAAGGTATCGATGCGGTCGCGTTGTAACGTTCAGTTGGTGATGATGTGAAGGAGTGAAAGGAGACAATTCAGTTCCGTACGGGAGGCGAAACTGTAAGCGACAAAACGAAACAAACAATTAACAGAGTCTTGATCAACAAATGAAGGTAGAAAAGAGTTAGAGGTTAGACCTGGAGGATACAAGAGATTTAAGAAAAGGGAGCGTCGACGTCGATTGCGATGGCAATGGGCAAGTTAATAAAACCCGACCCAAGGCAAGGTACAGTACCTAACGTAACTTGATTTGGGGGGGAGAAGATTAGATTAAGGCTCGTGTCGTCCAATCGCTCGCGCCGCTGGGTCACTTAAAGTGGCAACCCACCTCAGGTACAAGCGAAAAAACACTGATGATACAGTATCTGCAGACACGGAGGCAGCCCTGCGCCCTGCTTTTTGGCCCGGGAGCTTCGGAGTCCAGTACAAAGTAAATCAGCGACAGGACTGTGCAACTGGAAAAGGTCCAATTATTCCAAACCCACGCCAAGAGACTAATCAATCTCCTTTTGTAGATGATACTTTGCGGATGTGACATTCTCTGCGTTATTTCATGTACAAGTGTCTTTGCAATTCTTAAAATCGACATCTCCTGAAGGGCAATTCCATGAGGTCGCATCATGGCCATGGCCATGGCCGGGAGTGGCGGATCAGCCCATGCGTTAAACAGTCAGTGACTTTGTCAAATCACATGTGTTAATCTAAGATCACACTCAACTTTGTGATATCTTTAAAGGGGCTTCACATTCTGTCATTGCTCAATGGACTCAGAAAACGTACGAATATCTTACGCCTGTCCTCCCTGTCAATTCATGTTGGTGCTCCATCGCCTGTTCATGCCTCTAAACATAGGGCAAGCCTTGCGAAGCCTCTTGTGGCTCATACCACTGAAACGTCACCAACAGGTCATATGTCTGCTGTCAAGGCAGAGTAGCTGCTTACAGCTCGTCTGAATCTTTAAATTAACTGAACCGAGACGCAGATGGATCATGCCAGCCCAGCTCAGCCGTTATTTTGTAGATTCCCTTTCCCTGAGCATGGCATGAAGCAGTTCGGTTACAATCCGCGTATTAAATCCGGGGCACATGACCCCTGGCTGATCTTGTCAGGCGTTGAAGATCATAGGTCCTCTCGGACTCCAGGTGCTAAGCCTGATTTCGGCTGCTTGGGACTTGGGAAAATACTCACTGTATGGGACATGCAATGCTAGTAATCGGCAGTACATGTGTTTTCCATGACGCGTGAGATGCAGCTCAGCATTGCCGTCCGCGGTGTAATTCTATTGGGCTAGAGCTGGCCTATTATATTACATTGTTGTCCGCGGATCAAAGTTCGCTTTCACCACTCGTCAGAGGATAGCCAGCTTGGTGGTCAGCTCAGGTAGTTTTCGCTCGCTAGCCAGGGGATCACTCAAGACATCTGCAATCCTTCCTTGCTAACAACTATACCGAAAAGTTTTTGTCTATCCTAGTTAATAGCTTGCCGCTAAAGAGCCCAGAAAGCTAAAATCTATGCTCTAGCTTAGTATATTCCTCCTGTCACTTTAACTCTCCTTCCAAAACGTGATGTGAGCAGAGAGACCGATTTGGTGTTTTCGAGGCCCACTCTCTGAATTTGATTGGTTCACAAGAACCGGCCACGGAAAAATTTTACGGCGTCCTTCAGTGAGCTTTTTCAGTTTGCGTGCCGCTAATGTACTCGAGCCCCCACTACCCCGCCACTGGCTCTAGATTTTTATTATCATCAGGCTCTGTTTCTCCCTTTGGCTTTGCTCCTCTTTGCCAGTCTCATCAGCTTCATTTTCTCCTCTTCTCCATCCCATCCCATCCTCAAAGGTCTAATCGACTTCAACCGTCAAAATGCTTATCTACAAGGTACGGCCAAGAACAAACCCGTCTCATCACCTTCAGCAGTACCCCGCCTACTCTTACCCCGCGCTCGATTCTTGTCTTGTCTTATTCGCATGATCTGTCGCTGAACCCCGCAACAATAGGATATCCTCACCGGTGACGAGCTCATCTCCGACTCCTACGATCTCAAGGAGGTCGATGGCATCGTCTACGAGGCCGACTGTGCCATGATCGAGGAGGGAGGTCTTAACGTCGGTACGTGACGGCCACAGCCTCAGGGCTCGTGTAAAACAAGGTTCAATTTTGCCCTAACACCATAATTCACAGATATCGGTGCCAACGCTTCCGCCGAGGAGGCTGCCGAGGATCTCGATGACCAGGTCACCAAGGTCAACAACATCGTCAGCTCTTTCCGTCTCCAGGAGACCTCTTTCGACAAGAAGAGCTACCTCACCTACCTCAAGGGTACATAGAAGCCTTCCCATCGAGATCCACGATACCAGAAGTTAACACCAATTCCAGGTTACATGAAGGCTGTCAAGGCTGCTCTCCAGGAGAAGGGTGCTCCCGCCGAGGAGATCACTGCCTTCGAGAAGGGTGCCCAGAACTATGTCAAGAACGTCATCCTTGCCAAGTTCAAGGACTTCGAGTTCCTTACTGGCGAGTCCATGAACCCCGACGGAATGTACGTTTGCCCTTTATTACTGAGTCCGTGTTCTTTAGGAGACTAATCGTTTACAGGGTTGTCCTCCTCAACTACCGTGATGATGGTGTCACTCCTTACATCACCGTCTGGAAGCACGGTCTCACTGAGATGAAGGTCTAAGGTGGAGGTAGTGTCGTGGTGATGTTTTTGGTCTGCCTTGTTTGTGACGACAGACGGACGAGCAGTTGTTTAGATTACGAGCCACACGAATCTCGTTCTCGGCGCTTGGTATATCCCCGAGATATTGCGATGAGATGAACAAAAAAGAAAGAAGTCATGAGTTCCAACCAATTTGTATTTTTGACCCTTTTGTGCAGTGATGAAAGCGATTCTTGATCCAACGAAACAAACCCCCCAAGATGCGCGCCTGGCAATGCTGTATGTCTATTACGGGTTGTCGTAACTTAAAATTGTGGTCTAGTTGCCATAGGAATGGGCGGTGGCTCATCGTTGGTAGGAGCAGCTGAAGCACCCATAAGAGCTGGCTTCTTCTTTGGCGGAGGTGGAGGAGGCTTCTTCTTTCCAACGACACTGGCCAATCCGGGAGATGCTGGTGCAGGGGGGGTATCTTCATTTTGACTTTGTGTTTGGTTACCTTGGAACCTAGAATATGAGCTTTGTGCCTTGTCAAGAAGTCCATACTTTTGATTCAGGTTGTTCGCCGTCTTGGCTCCAGCAGCAACCTGTTCACCATGACGTTGGCGGAAGTTGTTAGCTGTACTGGCAGCAGCTCGGGCATCGGAGAAAGAGACCGAAGAAGGATCCTTTTGGAAAGATGAGGCAGTCTTGAGAGCGGCTTGCTTCTGAGCCCATGTGGTACCCTCGGTAGGTGGTGGAGGTGCTGCTGCATTAGCGCTAGATGATGTTCCAAGCTTCGAGAATCGGTTCTGCAGTTCGCTCATGTGTGATGCAGCAGGTGCTGGAGGTGGTGAAGTGACACCAGGTCGTGGAGGTTGAGGTGGGCTAGGCGATGCTTCGGCTGCCGGGCTGGAACGACCAATACCAAAGCCAGGAACTGATATCCCTGCTGCACCAAGACGATTGACTGCTCCTTGATTCAATAGACCGTTGCCTGTAGGTGCAGGACTAGCAGCGGGAGAGCTTGCAATTGTGCTTCCAGAATTGGTCCTTGGGGGCAGACGTGGTGGTAAGCTAGGAGGTGCAGCTCTTGCTCCTCCTCCTACACCAGCCATAGCAGATTGATATGAAGGCGGTTGCCCCGAACGTCCGTCAGCACCATCTCTGCGGCCGGGCGGCTTCGGTAGGTTATCTGTTGAAAGACCTGTAGTATTTGTGCGATAAGGACCGCGAGGTTGAGGTTGTTCCTCATACTCCTCCTCGGGCTCGGCATATACGGGTTCTTGAGGGGCTGGTGCTCTCGGATCCTGGTATTTCGAAGGAGCGGTGATAACCTTCCTCGGTGCCGACTCTGTCTTTGGAGCTGGTGGAATAAGACCAGAACCGGTACGTTTGGGAGGCGGTGCAAAACTTGAAGGGTCCTTTAGTTGGGACAGTGGAACAGAAACGTGACTGCTTCGGTCCTCATCCTCAGACTTTCCTCTCCCAACGAGGCCTTTCTGCAATGATGTTAGCCGTTGATATCAGCAGCAGGTGAGAAAGAGGGGACTGCTTACAACTTGACCTTTCAAGCTACTTCCAGACTTTTCAGGGTGCCACCCATTTTTCATAATATCTTTGTATTTGGACATGGCGAAGACTTAAAGATACTACTTTAGGGAATGGAGGAGTGAGGTTGGGATAAACGAGCCGCTGAAGGTTTACCCGCAGTTCCATTTGGGCCTAAATCCACTGAGCACGGGAGAGTGACGTACAGTTCTGCCGAGCCACTGAAGATCCGTCAGTCAGTCAAGCCACAAGTTCGCGGGGTTGTTTTTTGACAGTTGGGTTTCAGTGCTGACGCCTTGCGATTTAGGTGTCAATTAACTGGACTTGACTTCTCATGATGGGATAGAAGTTCCATGAGTTTGTAGCTGATCATATCAATTTATGAAAATATTACACAAAATTGCTCTGTCAATTCATGTGAATTTTCTGACAAAAAACTGAATTGCATTGTAGCAGGCAAGTACTGGCGCACGAATTGAGCATTTCTTAGACGCGACTCTTCCATATACGCGTCTAATCACTTAAACTACTTCAACACTTCAAACTTTCTACACATAACGACAAATCAAAATGGCAGCGCAACAAAACTCAGACTATGAACTCTTAACAGAGCATTTTGGATACCCTCCAGTTGTAAGTTGACACTGGTAATATCACGTAACTAGCACTAACGCCTCACAGTCCCTCCTCGACGACATCATCAACACTGTCAATGTCCTCGCCGACCGTGCCCTCGACTCAGTCGAACGTCTTCTTCTCTCTATTCCACCGCAATCATTAGGGTTCTCCAACAAACATGCCTCGAATGATGGAACACCGGCTCTACCGCCCGATGAAGCAGCCAAGCTAGAGATTGAACATGGCACACACCAGCTCGAAACTCTTCTCAACGCGTCCATCGACAAGAATTTCGATTTGTTCGAGCTTTACACGATGCGCAATATCCTAACTGTGCGACCAGATGATCAACCATATATGCGTCTGGCGCACTACGAGGGCTTGGATTTCTCTGGATTAGAAGGCCCTGATCGACCTACAACAGAGTCTGTGACTGCGCTGCGAAGGAGATTACATGCTACCCAGCGACTACACACAGCACTTGAGTCTGAGAGAGCCCGAAATGATGCCCTGCTTGGAAAATTAAGGTCTGTGCTGGGTGTTGTACCTGGCAATGTGAAAGCAGAGGAGGGCCAGGCTCAGGCACCAGACGGTTCAGCCTTTGGATTCTTGCGCGACAAGGCAAGTCTTCAGGCCGCTGGAGCCGATAAACCCATCGCGACGACAACTGAATTCACCCTCTCACAATTACAAGCACTTCGCGCTCTGTCGACATCACTACGTACATTGCTTCCCGACCTTGGTCCTACGGATGCAGACACCCAAATGGAGGATGCCTCGAGTAGCTCACGTACATGGAGACGTGAGCGTGTGGAATATGTCGAGGGTGCATCTCGGAAATATCTCGAGACAGCCAGAGGTCTGGAGCTTGGAGACCAGGGCGAAGTGCGTGATGGTGAGTGGCAGGGCGAGGGACGTAAGATTACAAGAAGCGATGTCGAGGGGCTGGAACAAGTGGCTGCTATGCTTGGGCAGAAGTCAACGACGACAGGCGAAGCTTCTGGTGAAGGAGAACCGATGGATCAATCATAGGCCGAGAACTGCAATTTTGATGTCATGTTGAATTGGCAACTTGAAAGGCGTTAGGCGAACGAGAAAACGGGCTATATCATATCTTTGGCAATGAAAGTTTTGTCATGTCTTTAATATACAAAACAGGTGCTTCGAAGCATGATCAACTCAACATCTATCCCAGCGAGGTATATACCTCTAGTACATGTCTAACCCTCGACTAGTGATACATTTTTCTCATCCCATCACGTGAAAAGCTTACTTCCTCCTTGTTTTCTCTATGAACGCGCATACTGCCTCAACTTCTGGCTGTCTATCAAACCATTATGCTGAGCCAGATACCAAAAATGATGTCTCCAATATCTCTCATTCGCACTCTTACTCTCCCTATCATGCAGTTTATGCTTCAGAACAACATCCACGACTCTCTTGGCCGAATCCATGTCCCCGTTCTCAAGAAGCGCTTGCATCAGTTCCTTGAGACACGAGAGCGATGTCACGGGGCGACCGGACTCGGCGAGATCGTCAAAGATGGACATGGCTTCTCGAACATCACCACCGATGGCGTGGGCGGTCATAACTCGCTCCCACAGAGTCTGGTCACCGGTGGACACTTTTGTCAGATTGTTGCCCTTGAGCAAATTGCGGATCTTGTTGATATCGGGAGGATCATGACGAAGGGCGCGCTCAACCAGAATAGTGATCATGTGTGGCGTCAGAACAGAACCGAAGCCATTGCTGCGCATGTGTTGTTGCAATGCTGCAATGACATCGTCTGAGCAGTTGGGAAGACCATCAAGAGCGTAAAGCATCTTGCCATATGTCTCAAGATTGGGCTTGAGTCCAGCTTGTTCAATATCGTTAAAGACGGCTTTGATAGCAGCAACCTGCTCCTCAGCACTGGCATCTTCCATGCGGCCAATGACAGCCTCGAGTAAAATGGTAAAGGTGGCAGAGTCGGGTTCGATACCCTCCCTCTGCATGGACTTTAAGAGCTCGTCGACATCCTTGTGATGGCCCATGCGAATAGTCTCGCGGATAAGAATGTTGTAGGTTCGAGTATTTGGTGCGAGACCTTGTTTTCCAGCCCAGGCCAGCAGATCGTGCGCCGCCTTGGGGTCTGCGTTCAACAAACTCTTGAAGGCAGCGTTGACGGCCTCGATACTAGGCTCAACAGCTTGAGATTGTTTCCCTTGCTTAACAGCACGATGCCAGTTTTCTACCAACTCCGCAAGCGCCTGTAGACCCTTCTGATGCTGACCAAGCTCGATAAGCGCCGACACACGCTCAGTCCATATGACAGCGTCGAGCTTCATGCCAGACTGGACAAGCTGGCTCCATAATGCCTCGATCTTGCCAATATCCTTGCACATCTTCCATCCGTGCATCATGCTTGTATAAGTTCTGACTGTTGGCTCAACCTCCAGCGAGTGCATCAGATCGAGTGTTTCCTGAACTCTTGGAGATCGGCGGACTGCACACCATACGAATATCCAAAAATCGAGGAATTCACGATCGTGAGCCAGCTGGGGTTTAATACCCGGGTTGTCTCGCAAGGCCACCAACAGTGCGTCCCAGACGGAGCCAATGGCACCTCTGTCGCGTGCCCTATAAGCTGCTCGCAGTTGCTTGTGAAAGTTGTTGAGACTGTTTCTCGCCCCCGGATCTGGGCCCTGAGATGATGCTTTTACCCAGGCGTGGGATTCGCCCGAGATCATAGTTGATGCAATCGCCCATTGTTCTGTGACATACTCCTTGAGCGCGATCAGTCTCTCAGGAGAAATGCTTGAGGATTTTGCCACGATAGTATCAATATCAGCCTGTTTGATTTTGTACTTGGATAACACAGCTCGGACAAGTATTAGTAAAGGCGACAACTGCGTCTTGTAATCGGGACCAGAATATCTCTTATCTGAAGCGATAGCGAGAGTAGCCAACAGTGAAGGAATAACTTCAAGGGCTTGAGGCGGTGGCAGCTGAAGAAACATAGAGGCCAACGCTCGAGATGCTTGTACTGAGGCGCCACCCCTGCTATACTCGGTATCTTTCAACACCTCTGTCACACTGGGTAGTGCGAAGCGCGCCTCTTTATTGGCTTCGCTGGGTCGCTTGAGCTGAGATATATGCTGCCACATTTTGAGAGTCTCCTGCCTCAGTTCAGTGCGCTCAACGGACCCATTCTTGTGTTGTGAGGTCTTAGCACACATGTTGAGAATGAGATCGTTCCGTAGGCGGAGGCTATAGTCCCCAAGCGCCCTATACTTCTCAGCTATATCGTGACTGTTCTTGTATAGACCATTTTGAAACATGTAGCCACACTCATTGCTGAGTAGTTGGGTTACAGCTGTGTAGATAGCCTTTGAGATCTGGCCTTCAAGTCCTTGGATGCTCGGCCAGATCTCGTCGCGAAAGATGTTGTAGCGTTCATCAGGGTGGACTCCTCTGGACGTAACTTCTTTGAGTCTTGTGATGATTTCGAGCTCATTGAGTATAGGCATAGGCACTCTGACAGCCTCGGTGCTTGGGGTAGCTTCAGGATCCGCACGGCTCACAATTTCTTTGAAGAGCGCCAATGTCGGGTCATGATCTGATTTCTGCTTATATTTGAAGGCATTGAATCCTTTTCTTGGCCCATTGTGGCGTTGTTTTGACTCTCTGCTGGGGTTGGCTGACTGTGAAGCTGTCTTTGTCCTGGTCCTCGGCGTATCAGGAATCTCAGCCGTGGTTGAATACGAAGCTACAGCCCCAAGCCGCTTGGCTGAGGCCGGAACTGATCGCAACTGCGATGAACATCTTGAACAGGCTGTCCGAGACGCGTACATGTCGTAAGGCCCCGGGGGTTTTTGGTGGGTGCGGTTGCAATATGTGACTCAGTTGACGTACTTGGGGTCACTATTTTCATGAAGTTGATGGACCGAGGTGAGGAGCCAATCAGATGGCTTTTCGCATCCCACCTCGGTAAATTTCGGTGTAGTGTGTACCGGGTAGGTGGCTACCTTAAGGTGAAAGCAATCAATCAACTTATTTGCAGGCATTTATTGTGCTTAAAAGACGAGGTACAATGTTGCGGGTTTGTCATGTCTTGGTAGTTCGAAATAATATCGTTATTCTTCTTCATTACCTTAATTAATGAATGACTCGTTTCTATCCGGCTGCTTTAAGCTCATCGTAGCATCTAAACTAAACGCTAGCACAAAACTCTCCATCAATCTCAATAATCTTTTCCACACTTTTCCTGTAACCCTCCTCATTCTCAATCATCTCAACATACTCCGCCACCTTGGGAAACTCTGACTTCCAAGAGCCATTCTCAAAGGTTCCAAAGTTGTCAAGCTCGTCCTTGGCAGCGATCAATGGGAAGCTCAATAAGATATCCGCGGCAGTGAGTTGTGGGCCACAGATGTACTTGCCACCTGATGTAGTGAGGTGGCCTTCAATCATCTTGAGGTTAACGCGCACATTGGGGAAGATGAAGGCGGAGAAGATGCGATTGGCGAGAATTGTTGATATAGGGCGGATGAAGAAAGGAACCTGGGGAGATTTGAGGGCTGTATAACGAGTCAGTGATAACTGATTGATATGAGAAAGATAGTTAACATACCGCTGACAACGAGGGCCATGACCAGAGGAGGCATGAGACTACCCTCACAATAGTGAAGATAGTACTGATATCTCATCCAAGCCTCAGTCTCGCCACCAATCTTGCCCTCCATACCCTCCTTCCATCGCTGAGGCACCAGCTTCTTACCCTCAGGTACGTTCTCCGCAAGATACTGAGTAATGAAGCCACTCTCAGCCAGAGTGATAGGCTCAGCGTCTTCAGCGGCACCAGCAGGTCTGATCTGAATCACAGGCGACTTGCCCAGTGGATGCACCTCTTGCAGCTCTGGGGGAGCCATCATGGTCTTCTTGTTGCGGTGGAAGATCTCAAGCTCATAGGGCAGATTGAGCTCTTGGAGCAGCCAGAGGATGCGCTGGGAGCGCGACTTCTCGAGCCTGAATTGGTTAGTATGGAGAGCACTATGATGTATAAATGAGACATACCAGAAGAGCTTGACGTGGGGTAGTTCGTTAGAAGCCATGGTCATGTACTGTGAAACGGTGTATTAAGATGGATCAATTAACAATAATAGAAATTGAGTCTATGACGGCTTTAGAGAACGTTCGGGAGCCTCAAATATATATGGCCGATTGGTCTCGGCCAAGGTTCCAAATATGGCCGCCCTAAATATGATATGTGACCATGATGCATCTTTGTTGGTTGGCTGGTCGATGTCGATCCATAAATAAAGGACCGGGAGCATCACATGTGCCGAGTCCTCGGGTCGATCTATTTAGCAAGTATTGTATGTATTTTCTGATTTTGTCTTGTCTTGCCTTGCCCTGTCTTTGTCTCATACAAAGAAAGGCCCAGTTTCAAAGCCTCTAATCTAGTTACAGTATTTCTTTCTATGCCACTCCCAATGCTGCCGGTTGCCATGTGATGCCATGCGTTTCTCTCCCCGAACCCCTTCCACAAAAGCAAATATACGGAACCAAACGCCTTTTGCTCTAAGACTCCTCCATACCAGGCTTTGCGCCAAAATCAACACGCTGTGACCATCGCCAATTCCGCTGTAAAAATCCATCGAAATCCTTTTCTGGATACTTTCCCCATGTCTTTCCTTTGCTATGCAATCAATTCACACATCAGTCAACATTCTGATACGAAACTGAGATTACTTCATAAGCAATACAGAACTTTCTTCAACGTCGTCGAGACTTTGATGCTGGGGCTGGCGCGTCGTTAACAGCCTCCCGCTTTCGAGTCTGCTTTCGAGATCTGGGTGGTGGCGGGGGATCACTGTGTAAGTGTCCTAGTTCCTCCAGCGCGGTCGTGTTCTCCCACTGGAGACTGCGATAGTTGGGCGCCTCCGGCGACTTGTCCCGGATGCGCGTGCTCATTCGCTTGTGGTTCTCCTCTTTCTTTTCACCATCTTCCTCCTTGGATAGGTAGGCCTTGCGGCTCTCCATATGTTTGGCGATCTTGTCCTTGAAACTTAAGAGTTCCTTCCGAAGCTTGAGTTCGTTGAACCCACGAGGATCTAGCCATTTGATGAGCTCATCTACGTGCGCCGGTTCCGAGATGTAGCCCCACTGATGTGCGTTGAAGACGCTGGTGTTGGCCTCTTCCATAGCCTTTCGCTCAGGAACAGTCATGTTGAACTTTTCCTTGTACTCTTCCTGGAGTTCAGCAGGTAGGTCGATGTATCCTTCTCGCTCTAGCTCGTCAGGTCCTTGAACCCAGATCAGACCATTGGCGTAATCTGCTGATGCGGTCGAGCTATCAGGAAGTCCACCATACGGCATGCCATTTCGTTCAAACCAATAGTACCGGTTCCAGAAGCGATCCTTTCCAAGGACTCGGGTCCGAGGGCAGTCAGCCTCACGCAGATCGTTTTCAATGACGGCAATCTCCTCCTCACACTTTTTGATGACTTCCTCTTTCTTCTGAATATCTTTCAGGAGTTTAGTGAACTGCTTTGATTGGGTTGGTGGTTTAGGCGTCTTGGCAACCTTGGCAGCCTTCTCCTTCTTGCGAGCCTCTTCTTCCTCTTGCTTACGCTGCTTAGCCGTCTGAGGTCGTCGGCGCTTGCGAGCCGATGGATCATCCTGTGTTTCATCGCCATCTCCCCCTCGTGAAATAATGGAATCTTCGGGATCAGCCATTTTTACGTCTCCATCCTCTTCCTTTGGTGGGGAAGGAGGCATGTTCTCCGGTAGCAGGATCTTCTTCTGCTCATTGAGCTGACGCAAATCTTCAATGCTGTACAAATTATTAGCATTCATCGCCAAGTGGGAAAGCTTTGCTCTTAACTTACGCTTGCTTACGTTGCCGCTGCCATTCAATCCTCTCCTTGCGATATGTGGTCATGGTTTCGCTGCAGTCTTCCATGTAGCCTCGCATGGCCTTGGTCTCAGTGGTCAGCATGCAGATTATCTGCAAAGCTTTGACACGCTGGTTGACATCGAGTTCGGCGTATCGCTGCTTGACTGTTTCTTGAGTAGCATCAACTCCAGCAGGCACAAGGAGATGCAAGAGTTCCTCGCAAACCTCATGTCGACGTTCGTTCTTTGATAACTGATGGAGAAGGCCAACCATGATTCGCTCCCATCCACCGTTAGTAAAGTCTCGCTTTCGAAGGTGTTCGATCCAGTCGTAATCCTTGAGAAGCTGTTCAGCGCGATGCTTAGTCTCCTCCTCGCTTTCCTTCTCAGCGGCCGCGGCCTCGGCAGCCAAACGCTCTGCTTCCGCCTTAGCAAGACTACTGCGGGTGGATCGTCCAACTGGCCTGGCCTCGGGCTCAGGAGTTGGCAGAGCGCTGGCATCCTCATCGCTGTCCTCGTCGCTATCTTCTTCGTCGACTTCGGGTAGGGTGATGCGAACCTTGCCGCCATCGGCTTCGGAGTCCACCAGAATCTTCAATACTGAGCAATGGATCTCGTCAAGCAATTGAATTGGAACCTCCTCTGATGCAACGCAGAGGGTCTCAACATAATCGTCAAAAGTGAATGAGTCCAGCTTGAACACCTCGCAGTACACATTGAGGGTGTCCCAAGTCTCGAGCAATGGGCCAATCGATTCCATGTCAATCTTGTCGCAGAACTCACTCTGCGGCATATCGTCGTTTTCAACCTTGACAGGTGGGTTTCTGCAGAGAAATTTAAGCGGCGGACGCTTGCGATCATCTCGAGGCTCCAGCTGCAAATCTTCAATAGGGTATTTCGGGAGAGGAGGTGGAGGAGGAGGCGGCGTAGGTTCACGCTGGATTGGTGTCTGGATGCCATAGTCCGAAGGAGAGCTGAATGGGTTGCCGCCATGAACAGGCATGTTAAGAGGCCACTTGAGACCCTTGGAACCAGATCCTGGCTGACCAGGCTTCGCCTTACTCTTGGGAGCCGGCTTGAGTTCCGGCAGACGTACTGGACCAGAATGAAGTGCAGAAGTCAAATCATGACCGTTGGTATCATGATTGAGGTGTGCTCGCTTTTGGGCTTGGAGCTGTTTACGCTCCATAACCTTGGTATCGTATCGAAGGTGAGGAGGAACGCGAGTATCGATATGATACTGGCTCGCATAGTCATGCTTGACCAACCACGGTGCCCCATTCCATGCATCACGGGTGACAGTCTTCTTAATGAAAGATCTGAGCATTGCCTTCGTGAAGATACCCCGGTCGCGACAGATGTGCTCATCCGTTACAATCGTGTCCTGTTCAGTGTCCTTGAGATCCACCAGATAGCGGGTTGTAGGTAAGGAATGAGTTCCATCAGGAAGAGCGCGGGGACCAAAAGTTGTCTTATCGCGGACCAATCCGTGAGCGCGATCGCCTCCCTTCATGGTCACTGTGACCTCTTCACCAGGGTAATAGTCATGCTTGAACTCGTCGTAGATTTGATCAACGAGGTTATCCAGGCGAGAAACGGTCTGAAATTGCACCTTACGCAGTATAGGACCTTTCAACGCCTCAGGAAATGAAGCTTCGACTTCTTTGCCACCAGCAAGCTAAGTCAATTGTCAGCCGTTGAATGATAAATCAAAGTTTACAAAACAAACCTCGCTCTTTAGAGCCTCAAAGAAAGTCAGACCGGAATGGCCTGTAATCTGATCATTAAAGCGACGCTGTATGATGGGTAAGCAAGGGATGTCAAGGTGTAAACCAGATATCATGGCTAACCTGTTTATAGAAATCCATGCTAAGAGTTGTGTAAGTAAGGTGTAATATTTGAACTTGGGTGATGAACAGCACTTACCGATCAAGATAGTCCTCATATGTGGTGAAGATCTCCCCTGTTTGAGGAATGTGCCAGACCTATTGCTGTTTAGCTATTGCGCAAAACCTACAGCTATATTGAGTTAGCCGTACCTCAGTATTCTCATCCTCAATTTCCTGGGCCTGCAAAAAGCGGACCGGTTTACGTTTGAAGAGGACCTGGTGATACTCGTTTAGTAAGGGCGAAGTGGTCGAGAGGTAAGTAGTAGAAGCGCGTACCATGGTCAAGTAATCGAGGCGCAAGCGGCCGAGTCGGATGTGCAATAGAAACCACCTGCAAGGCTGAGGTATAGCCTCCCCCCACTAACAAGATTGAAGGTTGAAAGTGATGCTATATTGCAGCATGAGCACGAGGGTGATTGTGGTGGAAGACGCGACGGTGAAGAATCGTGCTAAGGCGAAATTTGGGGTCGTCTCGTTTTGCGTGGGCGGATCGAGGAGAACGCGGGCGCGCAGGTGGGAAATAGAAATCGGGGGTGGGCTCCTCGAGAGATGGAGTCCGGAGTTGAACGACTTACACGCTCGCAGTGGATGGAGTCGAGGAGGCTGAAGAGTGAAGGTATAAGACGCGAAAAAGATGATATATGAGATATCTCTTCTAATGCGCACACGTTGTCGAGGCAGAGACAAGTTGCGGACGTGACTAGAGTGAGGAGAATGATGTAGGAAGAAAAGAAGAATCTAAAGAAGGAAAAGAAGCGGGCTACAAGTACGCGACCTGGGCTGGCGGGAGGGAGTTTAACGGGCAGGTCAGGTCCCGGTAGTACGGTGGGTCACTGGGAGCTGAGAGATACCCGGGCCGCCACTAAGATATGGGCCATGATTCAGTAACTGACAAGTACAGGTACTTTAAGTCAATGCCGTCCCTGCCCTCCATGGCTGGCACATTAGGGTCCCGAGCCTTGTATTAGATGGATGCTTTGATGGAGAATGCGGTTGCAGATACCCGAAGATGAGACTAACACGGTACCTAAAGTGAAAGAAGTGATATATCAATAAGTATATATGATATATTGCAGTATACAATTTACTTGTGTACTACCCATTATATTATATTATGCTTTGTTAGAGTCGACATCTTAAGCGCGTCAAAATGTCTTGTCATGTCCCAGCTTTTTTTTTTATAGCTTAGCTCCTCATGGATCCGTTCCATCCTCTCCACCTCCAACCCCTGTCGGCCCGCGGCCCTCCTCCTCCTCGTCTAAGATCCATCATTCAACTTTGCCCGCCTATAAAACAAGCCTAACTCAACTTTTTGCCCACGTTCTTGGACTCTTTATAATCCTCACGTCACTCTGCACCCAGAAAACATAGAGTCGGAGACATATTATGCGAGTTTGTGAAGATATATCCAATATAGCCTAATCTTGAAATTCTTCTGGAGATACTACAGACAGTCATCTTGGGACGCCAAGTAAGCTTCTGGTACGACAACCACTCACGATAATCACCAGCAAAGCGCACTCAAGGTTGGCAGAGCATCTGGTGATTGTATTCTCTCAATATAGAAAAGCTATATATAGACTACCTGGAATTGAAAGTGCATCATGACATAGAACGAGAGCCTCTTCGGTCTCTCCGTCAAACGCGTCGTGTAAGTCAGGTCGGAATTATATACAACTCTATCACTTCAAAAATGCCCCCAAACGAGCCCCAGAAGTCATATTTAGTGCATTTAGATCACGTGAAATGTCTTTGCACTTTTAGACACTTGCAAAAGAGCTATTATGCCACTGCCAGAGCTGGAGCCACTGCCTCCTCTAGGGACATCACCTAGCTTTGTACTCCAGGAAGCTCCACAATTGAGATCGCAAACTACTTTACACTCGCCTGCCACTGCTTCCGCACGGCACGAGGAGAAAAACCACAATAGAATGATGAAACTATTGTGAATGGGCCCCAGAAGCCAGCTAGGCTGATTGTGCCCCTGGATAGATTCAGGGTGCCTAGAGCACAGGCCCGGCAGTGATTATTCCAGGTGCCAAATTACCAACAGATTGTTTCATTTTACTTGGAGAATATCATGAGAGAATCATTCATTGTTAGACAAGATATGAAATCTATTGGGTATCTAAACATCAACACTTCATGCTGTGAAATACACCACCATATAACCCAACCAGCTTCCAACCACACCAATCGCAGTATACGAGCTCGTAAACATCAACGGAAGGAATTCATAGCTCTTACCAAATATAATCTGGTGTAGGAGTGAGCAGTATAAAATGAGTGGGATGCTCACGGCAATGTATAGCGTGCTGAACCGGTCTAGTAGGAAGATCCTGGGCTTGTTGGAAGCAGGGGCAAGACGATCAAACGCCATGAGGAAGACAACAAGCCAAGTGATAGTGTAGATGGTTTTGATAGGGAATTCTGCAGGCGTGAAAAGGAGAGGGAAGAGCGATACATGACCGGCAACAGCCAGCGGCCGGAAGGCTCCGAGATGACGTCTATCTCGAAGGGCGATAAGACTGAAGGGGATGATGACAAGAAGAATGGCCTTCTCATGGACATGCCAGCCAAAGAGGAAAGAGGCATAGCCACACAGGGTGACGGCGCCAATGAACGTCTCCCATGTTGGTTGAGAGAATAGCTTGATCAGAGGTAGGACCTGGAAAAAAAGTGTGAGAACGAAACATGTTCTTGGGCTGATTTCAGGCAGAACAGCAAAAGCTGTATCTCCAACCAAGCCACGAGTGACACTCTGCAACGCGTTCTTATCCACAGTCCAGCCAACGCGTGGAGCAACTATAGAATGTTAGACCAATGGTTGAGGTAGCTGATCTGAACTAAAGTGGAACTTACCGTGAATCAAAATTCTATCCGCAAAAGAGTAAAGAGCCCAGACATTAGGCGCCCAGTAAGCGTGACATAGGCCGCGAGAGAAGGGGAATAATCGGCTCAGAAGCTGAGGAATCTGATTCATAGCTGCAAACGGTCCAAAAGCAGCTCCAAAGATCGTTCCAATGCCCAAACCAAGCTTGATCGAATTCAAGAATCGGATTCGGAAGATGGACTTAGATGACAAGCAATATGCTCGCAGGAGATATACAAAATAAGCTGGCGCCAAGTACAAGTAAATGTGCTTGAAGCATAGGAGGGCAGCAAAGATGAGCCCACTGGTTAGTAGCTCATTCTTGTCGCGAGCAAGAACAAGAGACATGACAAGGATTCCGTACATGAAGCCATTGTACTGAAAGTGAATATGGTCGATAATGAGAAGTCCGGGAGAAAGGATGATAGATAGAGCAGCGACCTGAGCGGCACGACGGGATTTTAGAGGCGCATTGTCGATAAAGGTCTGGAGTGCCCAGAACAGAACAAGTTCTGTAATAATGACAGAAGTCCGTTGGAAGTAGACCGTTTGCCAGCTCTCGTAATCGAGGTTGTAGACTTTGACCATGAGGGGATCAACGAGACGAGCGACGTGTGCGAGAACCCATTCGAAGTAGGCGAAGAAGGGGGGATAATCCAGAGTCCATTCCGACGTCTTTTCAAAGTACCATTTCTCTAGAGGAAGACTGTTCGTGATAGCGAGCCAATTGCGATGGACTTCAAAGTCGGTCGATTTGCTGTTTGGTGGTGAGCGATGGTACGCGACGGATATGATGGAACAAGACTCACTATGCGGGGAACAGGAGGATTTTGAAAGCGGCAGCCACAAGCGCAGTCTGCGCAAGTGTTGGGTAATGTTCGCTCATGATGCGCGGTCACTATTTGTGTTGTCGCGGAGCTGGAGATGGCCTCATGACCTTGTTTCTGTGGGATTGGTTAAGGTAGACCTAGATACAAGTCATGACGAGCAGGAGATTGGCTCGTGTTCATTTTTGTACATGAGGTGGTTTGTCCAAGCACATGTCTCCACTAAAATACTAGCACCGAGATGGGTTGACAGCTACCTTAAGGAACCTAAGCTGCGTTACCTCTGAGAAGCAATAGAGCTTCGAACACTCAACTCGGTTCACAATAAGAGTTGACAGAATCCATTGGCCAATTTTCAGAAAATGCATCTAACTTGAAAACGAGACTTTTAGACAGTTAAAGTAATCAAGGCAAGCCTAGAGATGTACAATGATCTCTAAGAACTCTGTCCAATCTGGGGTCTAGTTATGGAGTTACTTACAGGGGTATAGCTTTGACTTTATTCTGGCTACAGGTATTAAAGTCTGGGTAACAGAGAACAGCTCCCAAACTATCCGTCTTCGCTTTAATGATAATACAATTCAATTGTATTACTCAATCTTAAAACACCTCGAAAGGGGCTCACCGTATTCTCTTTTGAAGCTACCGACGGCCCGAGCTCTTTTTCCCCAGCTTCCATCTCGTTAGCTAACAAATCCACCAATAATGCTCTCTACTGGACATCATCAAGCCACGCTGCTCCAGTTAGGTTACGCCACAAAACCCTTTTCAAGGCTGAGCTGAATGGATCGCATGTGGCTTCATTAACTCATTGTCTGCTTCTCATGAGACTTTTCCCTCTTTCGTATTTGGTTTGAGTATCAATTGATAGATTCTTTGTTCTTTCATTATCTGACTTCTTATATTCCAGGCCTCATTATTGTGTCTGTTTGGAACCCGTTGTTAATTCTTGACTGGTCTATAGTGAACCCCCGCTCTAAACTCCAACCACCAAGTACGGTATACGCTTGTTCCAGGGGCTGCATAGTGCAAAGTGTCCTTAGACCTCAGCCTTGCCTCCACCAACTCGGCTCATTCCCTTCAACTTCCCGAGCTCTTTTTTCCGCGACCCGAACTTGGGAAAAAGGAGTGAGCCCGTCCTTGCGCAGGTGTCGAGTCTTGTCTTGTCTGTGGTTTGAATAAATATTGTTCCATCCTTGTTCTTATTTCGTCTTTTGGTCCATTGGAGCTACCTACATCTTTTCCGCTGCTATGAAGGTCTCTTTCTCTTTGGCTGCGCTGCTGGCAGCAAGCCTGTCGCAGGCTCAGTATCTCATCAGTGAACTTAGTTTTGGTCATGCTGGAAGGTTTGTTCTACCTTTTGTACCTTTGTGGTACTGCACTATCCAGGGATGTTGCTAATCCGCCCTGCGTCTACAGGATAAGCCCACCCGAAGCTCGTGGGCAGATCCCCAACTTTGCTGTCCAAGGCAACCCCAACACGCCCGAGGTTCTCTCAAACCGAATTATCTTGACACCTCTTGCTCCTGGTAACCAACGAGGTGCCGTCTGGGGCCAGCAGCCTTTACTTCGAAACCAATGGATCGCCGACGTCGACTTCCGAGCTAACGGCCCTGATCGTGGCCGTGGTAACCTCAACATCTGGCTTGTTCGCAACGGTCCTGCTACGATCGGCTCTGGAAGCATCTATACCGTCGGAAAGTTCGATGGTTTGGCTTTGGTTATTGATACTTCTGGCGGTTCGAGTGGAATGGTTCGAGGTTTCTTGAACGATGGAAACACCGATTATTCGAGGCAAAGCAATGTCGATGAGCTCTCATTCGGCCACTGCCCTTACAACTACCGCAACCTTGGCCGACCTTCGCAGGTCAAGCTTCGACAGACCGCCAGGACATTCCGTGTTGAGTTGGATGGTAACCTATGCTTCGAGTCGGACAAGTTCAGCATTCCCACTGGCTACCAGTTTGGTGTCACTGCTGCCACCCCTGATAACCCTGACTCCTTTGAGGTCTTCAAGCTGGTTGTCATGGCTGATAACAGCGACAGTGGCCCTGTTCGTGATCCTCCTAAGCAGAACCAAAATCAGGGCCAGAACCAGAACCAGCGTGTTCCACCAGTCAGGGACACCTCCAGCAGTAACAACAAGCGAAATGATGGCGAGTACGCGGATGAGGATCCCGATATCTTCCAGACTTCCAAGGCTCAGTTCATGGATCTGCACAATCGCCTTCAGAACACCAACCACCAGCTCGCCTCCTTGCAGCGCACCTCCTCCCGCCACCAGCAGCAGGATGAGAAGCGTCACGAGGACTTGACGGCCCTGCTCGGCCAACTCCGTGCTGATATGCGTAAGCTCGACGATATCACTGCTCTGCACAGCCGTGTTATGGAGCTCGAGAAAGATATTCAGGGTCTCCGAAAGGAACTCAACCGCAAGCTGCAGTCCACCGAGCGTACCTTCAAGGACACACTCTCTGACCACCACAACTCATTGTCAGAGGCTGTCATGGCCAAGACCCCTGGCCACCGCTTCCTTATCTTTGTCTTCCTTGGTACCCAGGGCCTTCTCGTTGCGGCTTACGTGGCGTACAAGAAACGGCGCTCATCCATGCCCAAGAAGTATCTGTAGACTTAAGAAAAAGAGCTAAAAAGAGGGGGAGTATGGATTCAGGGGAAGACTTGTATTTGGATAGCGAGGTCTGTTTGACTTCACGCCTTGTTTCTTGGTATTGCTGTGCTTTGTTAATTAGATGCATGAGCCGTGTGTACATGGGAGAGCTTTTATGTTAGCAAAAGAAATGAGCATGATGATTAAAAAAAAAATTCATAAATCAATATTGTAAATCTGAAAGACTATATATATCCAAGACTTATTCTCATTACCTGAACCAGATACTCAGTGTTATTAGACCACTCCCAGAGCACCCATAACCATCACGCATTCAAACACTAAACATTCCAGACTCGCTTGTCTTGCTCGCCGACAGTTTCATATCCAAATGCAAGCATTCATATCGTCATTAAATCTTCTCAAAGCTGCCGTTGATCACGTCAAGCATCTCGTCACCCTTGGGGGCAGCGGAGGTCAAGTTCTCATAGCCTCCGGGTGTGACAAGGATGTCATCTTCGATACGAACACCACCAACTGGATAGTATGTCTCAAGTAGGTCTTTGTTAATGAACTTGGCATGTGACGGGTTGTTCAGGAAGTATCCCTCAATGAAAGGGCGGCAGAAGTAGCTTCGATAAATTAGCCCATGGACCCCAATGTTGAAGATGGTATAGTACTCACATTCCTGGCTCGATTGTCACAATCATGTTGGGCTGGAGAGCCTGTCTTGGCTTTGTAGGCGGGGAAGACGAAGCCATTCGGTGCATGGCCACCAAAGCGGTGGCAGTTACCATCTCACGCTTACCACCCTCAACGTGGAAGTTATCTCTCATCAAGAGGCGCTCGTAGCCAGTGACATCGTGGACCTCAAGACCAACATGATGACCGAGACCGTGAGGGAAGAAAGCCGCGACAGTACCCGCCTTCTGGATCTCCTCAAAGTTACCCTTCAGGAGCCCCAACTTGCGCAAGCCCTGAAGAGCTACATCACTAGCATGAAGCTGAAGTTCGTAGTAGACAGTGCCGGGTCGAACACGTGCTATACACTCTTCCTGCATACGCTGTACAATGGAGTAGATCGCGGAGGCTTCCTTGGAAAAGGAACCGCTGACGGGAAGAGTACGAGTGATGTCGCTGGCGTAGCATTGATACTCACAGCCAGCGTCGACAACGATCAATTGCTTGCCCTCGAGAGGCTGGTTGTTGGCTCCGTAGTGTAGAATTGAAGCATTGACGCCAGCTCCAGCAATAATAGGATATGCCTGAGCATGTGCACCGCGCGAAGTACAAGCGGCAAGCAGAACTGCTTCGACATCTTGCTCATTGCGCATAGTAAGAAGACGTTCGGCCACAGCACGATGAGCAGCAGCAGAGATAAGTGAAGCACGACGAATGAGGGCAACTTCATACTCCGTCTTGATTACACGGGCTTCATCCATGGCAGGTCGCAGCTTAGAGCAGTTGATCTGCGTCTGTCCTCGGGGTCGATCAGTCAACTTAGGAGCTTGATCAGAATGAAGGACATAAAGAGTCTTCTCAGGACGGAGTTGACCATGAAGGAATTTGGACAGTTGAGCTGTGTATCGAACATCATCGACGTCGTATTTGCGCATAGCCTCTGCTGCGTCAGGAGTTGGACCATGATACAAGACTTGTCGCGGCTCAGCGTACGGGATCCAGAGGGTGAGACGATCCATGGCGATTTCGTAAGTGACGGCACAGTCGGGAAAGTCAACACCAGTCATGTAATAGAAGCTGGTTTATTGTCAGCAAACTTTCTTGGTTAGGAACCGGGTAGCATACTATCTGCGTTGCTTGAAAGGAGGCGACTGGTCTGAGTCCTCATAGAGGCGTGTAGGCTCACCAGGAAGATAGATGAGTCCATCGGTAACGCCGAGCTCTTTGACGACCTTGCGCGCATGGAGCTTTGCTTCATGGTACGTTAGTACTCGTTTAAACATCGAGAGCATGTGAGATAGAGCTTCTTTGGACATACCGGGATACTTGTTACCGCTGCTGCTTTTACCGCTGGAGTCATCGTCACTCTTCTTTACCTCGACACACCTATCACGAAGCTCGAGTCAGTAATCTGAGCATTCTACCACATCAATGAGAGTATAGGAGTCCAAGATCAACTCACAGCGCGTCAAATTCATCCTCAAGCACAAACTCGTAGCTCATCGACCTTCTTTCACGTGCTTGAGGCCTCTGCTCCCCGCAGACAGGCTTCGGCGGCGTTATCGGCGGTGCCATCGGCGGTGCACTATAAATACAGTACAGTCTCGTTGACTCAAACGTTAGATCGGATGAGCGTATTATAAAAGGGCCGAGATAGACAATGAGAGTTGTTTAAGAATATATGTTGTTTATTGAAAGAGGAAGCTCCAAGTTTCATGTGATAACACATACACTAAAGCTACAGTTATAGTTGAGTTGCACTTACAGTATCCATCCGTAATCAGTCAGCCACAGTGCTCATCGGGAGTGGTCACAACGTATCGCAACCCCCCGATAACGCCCTGACAAAGCCTTCTAAGCCCGACTGTACTAATTCATCCATTTCATGACGCAACCATATCGATAATAAGACATTCTAGTCCGCCATGCAATTGTTGAGGATAGATTAGATTACGGGACGATCCGATCTTGTAACCGCAAACAATTGCTTCTGTGGCTGAAAGATCTCGTATCTCCAAGCCAAGCACTATGAATAAAATATACACTCAACATTATGTCAACCACTTTCAATGTTTCATATGACGCATGGCAAGTCTCATTACAATGGATCTATACTCAAAGCTGAATTCATTGCAGTGCTAACAAGTAGTCTTCTTCTCAATGATCCTACACGTTTCATTCAGCTTCCCTCCTCCGTTCGCATCCACTTCATCTTCAACTTCAACAGACAATCCAATGTTTGTCCAAGTGTACACCAGTTCCAGCCGCCGTCTATGTGCATTGGCCATATCTAAAAACGCGATCATTCCTTTGCCATACTCTTCAACCGTGGTATCCTAGCCCCTTTAACAGTCCAAGCACTCCGTTCCAAATCAAAATCGCTCTTCCCATGAAATAAAAATCAAGATCAAAATCACTAGCCGACGCCTCGCGCGCTTTCCGTCCTCCCGTATCATGAGTGGGTATCAAATGTAGCGACCGTTACATTCCTTGGAATCCTCCTCTTCCAGAGCCAAAGAAGCCTCCCCAATCCGCTTGCATGCCCTGTTCTGTAAACATTTGTTGTATCTGCCTTTCTTGATGCCGTTGTGCGTGCGCTCGTCGGTTGGACATCGCGTGTCCTTGATGAATCGCGTGCGTTTGTGAAACTGGTCGCCTTTGTTGCATCATCGGTTGACCGGGCTGCATGCCCATTATGGCTGATGGACTGGCAAACATGGGTTGGTGGCCCGATGCACTCATCATGGGCTGGCCCTGCTGGTGCATCATGTAGGGTGGTGGTTGTCCAAAGATCTGGCTTTCTACGTCGTCGAAAGTGCCTGTCAAGAAGAGTTGCATATCTTGATTCTGGTCTCCCACAGTGGTGGGTTGGTCTGACTTGCCCGGGAATCCCAATTCCATCATAGGTTGGTTTGGATAGGCAAAAGGATCCTCAGATGGGAACATGAGCGAGTCGAGTTTGTTGACAGGGTTGTGCATGCCAATTTGCTGTCCTGTATAGGGGTAGCGTTGAGTGCTTGTCGCGGCGCTGCTGGTCGACTCTGGAGTGCTTCGCTGCAAATCAGGGGACATGAAATCACCAAAGTTGGCTGAGAAAGTGTTATCTTGAAAGGCTGTCATGCCTCCTCCAGGCAGATCCATCGTTCCTTGAGACAAGGTTGTAGGATATGAGCTTGTTGACATCTGGCTTGCACGAGTGAAATCTGTCGTTCCTATCGAGGACATGCTTGCGGGAATTGGAGTATGATGAGATGAAACAGATGAAGGTCGTCCTGTAGGGGCGGGCCTCTTCTTTGAAGGCGCTTGTCGTATTGTTCCAGCATCCAATTGCTCTGGTAATTGGTCAAATAGAGCCTATTTCAACCATGTCAGTATGAGTACTAAAAGTTCAAATATTTCGGTCATACCTTGAGAGCGCCGGTAACTCGTTCGGCCGACATACTCTTCTCCGCCAGGGCTGCAATCATTTGTCTTCCAGCTCGAGCATCTGCTAGAACTTCGCCAGATCCGGGTTTCTCGGGGTTTTCTGTAGCATAGAACACAAGGGACAGGACGGCAAAGAACTCCGTGTACAACATGAACCAGTACGGTCCACTGAGTACCCGCTGTTTACGAATTTCCAATCCAATGTGCACAATATTACGAGAGACACTGATGGCAGCCGCTGCACAAGCATATGATAGCTCATCGACCTTATTTCCTTGGCTCAAACGAGGAGAGACGTAATGCAAGAATGGTCGGTATAGCACAAGCTGAACATGTGCATAAGCAAATCTCAACAAATGACGGATTCTATCCGCCAGTTAGCAATGTTCTACAATTTCTTCAAACCCCTCATTGCTGCACTTACCGAACCGTCTCAATTGGCCCCTCACCGCTTGGGCGCCAATGCTGGGGTAGCCTTTCAAACCAAGAATGAAGCTCAGCTTCAATTTCCTTGATGCGGCCATAACTAATCAGATAGGTGGAGGCAGGTTTGTTGTCTTTTGTAACGCTCTGACCCAATCCCTTTGTTGGATAGACGTATTTCGTGACCTTCGACAAGATTTCCATTAGTTCTGAATGGGCGTTGAACGCTTGGAAAAAGGATGGTGATCCAGGTGGTGGTCGCAAAATCCCGGTGTGTGTAATAAACTCGTCGTCAACTTCCAAGGGGAACGGCTGGTCGATGTCGTCCACATTAAGGAGTAGAGGAAAGCCAAGTAATGTAGAAACATAAATATCCATTTGTCGAACCACGTAGAATACACGTTTCCGAACTTCCTGCTCAATTGGATCGATTTTTTCATGCTGCAAATGTCGATGAAGACCAATCCGGAGTGACGAGCGCAGTGCAATACCAACGAAGGAATAGCAGCTGCTGAGATTCGAGGTGGCTTGGAGGAAAAGAATGATGAATAGAAGAGCTTGTAGCGAGATAAGGTCGCGGCAATCGGTCACGTCGTGTAATACCGATCGCGCGGCATTGTAGTATTTGAGACCCTCCTCTGTCGCATCTTGATAAGGCATGCTTGCTGGGTCGTTGTCGTCGAGATTGTTGTACATACACCCAAGAGACATAACAGAGAATAATAGTCCAAGATATTGTGTTTCCTCCTTCGTTAAATTGTCCAATGGTCGTTCATAGATTTTGTCCATTTGCTCGTAGAAAGTGGGGACGTGAACGATTCGAACGAGACATGTCGCGCAGCTGAGGGAATAATAGCACAGCTTCCGGGCAACATCCTTTGGCGGTAGCTCAGGGTAACTTGGAACTGCTGAGAAGGGCGTTCCGACAGAAGATAATGAGGGCGACTCCAGGCCAGCCGGTCGTTCGGCACGAGGTAGGAACGGAGCTTTTGAGGACGAACCAAGCATGCCTCGGAAATGATCCTTCATGCGTTTCAAGAACACAGCGCCGGAGGAGTTGCCGTGAAATTCCAAACTTCCCTTCTCATCGATATCAAGTTGGCCAACGGAATCGATCATCGAAGTCAGATGAGCTTCATTTTGCTCAGGTTGTGGTGGTGGTGGAGGAGGCTGTCGGGCCTTCGAGGCTTGTGCACGAGCATTTTCGCGATTGCGGAATTCTTGTTGAATTGCTGGGTCAAGACTCGGATCGGCCAAGTCGACATCGGGCATAAATTTGTGAAGTAGAGACTCGGCGCGCTGCAGTCGACTTTCCAGGGCTTCGATATACTGTGGGGCCGGATTTCTTCTCCTGTTTGAAGGTTTATCGTATGTGCATTCTGCATATAATGGTCAGCCACCGCGTCGTTTCCCAGTATCGGGGTTAAAGTGTATAAGAACAAGCGATTGAGCGATAAATCAGACAGAAGCCGCGTACCATAACTATAGACAGAGCAGTGTGTGCATGGTTGCTTGCCGTCACACTTAATCTTCTTCCGTCGGCATTCATCGCATGCGCGCGTTACTCGTCGTCGCTTCTGAATCGGTTGGGATGACGCGCCGGGTTGTGCGTTGCCGTCTTCGTCAACTTCGTTGTCGGACTTGATGCTCGCTGACGGCGACGGAGCATCATCGTGCCAGTCGTGAGCCGACTGGCCAGCATCGTTGTCAGCGACGTCCGGAGGCATGTCGAACTTGATTGAATCAGTAAAGGACCATGGAGTTAATTACTCGACATTGGTAACTTGAGGGGATAAGGCAATCAGGGTATGAAATTTGGAGTGTCTTGGCAAAGGCTAGGGCCCCATCGGCGATTCAACTCGCAGATGGGACAGTTTCCTGGTAAGGATACAGCGCAACAGACAATGTTGATGCGAATGCAAGGTAGAGAAGAGGAGGTGAGTTCGGGGGCACAACGCTGAAGTGCCAAGGAACAACGGGGAGAGCCGACGGGCGGGTGATTGATGTTGCAGGTTTTCACTCACCAGTCGATAGGCCTATTGGCCAAGATGAAAACGCAAATAACGAGCTGGGTATTATTATGAGAGGAAATTGAGAAAGGAAATGTCGTCGTTGTCACCGCCGCCGTGCGGCAGAACTGGGAATTGATTGAAGCGGACAGTCAAGAAGAGTCGACGAGAGTCAAAGGGACTACAGAGTGAATGAATTGGAGATGCAGTTGCAGGGTCGCAAGCGTAAGTTGTGAGGCAAGTGGTAGCCCATATCCCAATCGCCCCCAAGACTCACGGCCTAGGCCATCAGCGTTCAAGAGAGTTCAGTTAAAGTTCCCGCGCAGAAAGTGGCAGGGCCAAGAATAGAAATAGAAGAGAATCCAAGAGTGAAATGAGATGGTGATGATGGGGAAAGCGCCCAGGTAGAGAGAGTCTGAGAGTGCCCTGAGGTGGTGTTGGGCAATAGACGGGGGATAGCCTGTCGTACCAAGTACCGTTCCGTAGCGTGCTGCACTGCACTGACTTTAACTTGACTTGACTTGACGGAACCTAACTGAACTGAACTGAACCTGAACTGGGTATGGACTGAGCCAGAAGGGACTAAACTGTTCCAAGTCAAAGAGAAAGGGATGGGAGAAAGCCTAGTTGTAGCGGGCGGGCTTCGCGACCGAGGCGGGTACAGATGATTCGGTTTGGTTTGGTTTGAGGAACGACAGCAGCGTAACAAGCCCAGTACCAGCAACAAAACTGTAGCAGCAAGCAACAACAGGTAACTGACGAACGAAACGGGGTGAGCGAACGAGAGAGGGGAGAACAACGAAAGAGGTGGAGATGCAGAGACGGTAACTCGAACGGGCTCTCCAAAAGGACCTGAGTCTCAGTCTGAGTCTGAGCCTGCCCGAGCCTGGTCTGGTCTTTTGGGGCTTTGGATCGGGGTCCTTTAGTCGGGGCCAATTACCATGGTACTTGATACCGTGTTATCAGCACGGTACAGTCTTGTACCTCGGTCTTTCGGGCTCATATCTGAATCCTAAGTGACTAGTGAGAGGATGCAGATACGATAGGTGAGGCCACCTTTGAGGGTAATACTCAGGTCTCCAAAGAGACGGTGACAGATGCTAAGATTTACCAAGACTCAGGGCTGGCAAACAAGAGTTGCCAAAGGGATGATGAGACACAAAGGCTGGAAAATTCTAGTGCCAAGCAATACCAAGGCACAAAACATGTCGAGCCAAGAGTTGAAGCCAAGTAAAATCAAACGCCAGTGGATGAATGAGTGGCATGGGCACCTGGGGGAGCAACCCAGCACGAGACACGGAATGTCATTTCGATGGATATTCAATGGCCCAATAATGACTGTCGCTGTGAAACCGCTGCACTCTAAGCGATCAGTATGAAAAGGAAGAACGGCAATTGGAGAAATTGCGAACGCGTCAAGAGACTGAAAGCTTGCTTGTTTCAATACGACGTAGAGCAAGGGATAATTGAGTTAAGGTTGCAGGTGTAACAGCCGTAGAATAACCCGTACAGTTAGGCCAGCCAAGAAGCAGTAAGCAAGAGAGGCTATTCAGCCATTTCAAAATTAAAAATACGAATATTAATTTCACTCGCGATCAACTCACGATGTCAGGTTCAAGGACCTCATTTTGATGTATCACATATTGCGGCGTCGCCCATTTCTACCTTTGGGAAATGGCCGAGATGGAAGGGTTCAAGGAAAAGATGGCTTCTGAAATGTCACACTGTCCTCTACAAGTCCATTTTGTTACTGCAGGGGGGATCGGCCTTCAAGTTTACCAGGGCAGGGAGGTGAGGTGACATTGGATCCAGCGTATACCTTAGACAGGTACCATTTTTTTTGAGTTGCTCACTACCACTGACTTACAAAAGAACCCCCTCGTCTTGAGATAACTATCTCCATATCTCCATGCCTCATGTGTCGTGTTGTGTTGTGTGCTTGCTTGAGAAACCACGCGGGCAACGTCAATAGTGTCCCATTGCATCGGTGAATAGTTACGGAATTCGCTGATACCGCTCATCAATACCCAGATTCTCTCGAGACTATCACTTGGCGCATTGCCCAAGTGAGTCAGGTCCATGCCCCCAAATAGACTATCACCTCGTAAACGCGTCGGTGGCTGGTCTACCGGGGCTTTCCTTCGACGATGCTTCTTTTCATCACTGGAGAAGGAATTGGAAACACGAATAACACATTGCAGTACCAACTCGTGCGCAACTCTAGCAGGATCACGGCTATGACGGGACGGCGACCTCTAGAAAAGAGAAGCCATCTCCACTGCTCAGGGCCCTGCAAGTGGACGGACACATCCATCAACCCCAAAGCCGCGCGGCCGCAAAATAAACTCGCAGTCAGTCTCAGGGACAGACCCCCTTTGCATTTTGGGACCAACGGCCGCTCAGCGCCGTCGTATGCACAAGCACAAGCTGTTGCACCGGCGGATTCAAGATGACCAGCGTCTTTTTTCTTCAATGGATGCGGTTAATTGAAGCATTGAAATGAGACCGATACAACTTTCAGGGACCATGGGCTGTACAAGACCACTACGCCATTGATTACCTTCTGGTACCGTTCCAACGCCTCGAGTCTCGAGTACCGGCCAGAAGTAATTTTAAGCACCCGCTAATTGGGGGTCGAAGACACTCACTAACTGGCTAGGAGCAATGAATGAACCGCCCAAAAACGCAAAACGCTCTGGACCAACCTTGTCGTCAGCTAGATCGCATCCAATCCAATCCACTCTGACGAGACTTGCATGGCCTAGCCCGGGCAGGCTTGTGAGTGGCTGCACTAGGCAAACCTAAGCCTCAGCGGCATAAACTTGTGGGGAATGCTCTTGTTTCCGTGTTATCTGCGTTGATCAAGCCGTGGCAAGAATCTCTTAGGGAGAGGCCAAGAGAGTCTCGGAATCGCGAGATAAAGACATTGAAGATGGTGTTGACGACAGGAACCAAACGTCATTGCTGATTTCTTGTTTGGCGCAACGTTGAAATTTGCTTGTTGATCAATGAAACTCACAGTCAACTCTATTCGCAACAGCAGTAGGCGGCTCCAACTCTGTTCATACCTTATCCAAGAGTCTACCAAGTCTAATGCACTGGCTGAAGTGTGACCCAGGCTGCAGCAACGCAGACAAGCATAAGATAAACCAAACACTAATAAGGATGCCTTAATCAGTAGCGTTTTTGATAAGAAGCAGGGTCCAAAATCAAAATGGTCAGATGCAGAGCGAGTGTTGGTTCTGTCTATTTACAGTACAAATTGATATTGACTGGACTTAGAAACCACCATTGCATCGGCTCCGGGAGTCACGGAAGCTGACGAACGGGATGATCCCCATTCATGTGGCTTCTGGCCCGCCACGCATGAGAACAAGGCGCCACATGCATGTTAGGTAGTGACCATTATGCAATGTGATTCGAATCCTCTTCATGTACCCGAGAATCGAATTGGGAAGATGATCACGACAACAGAGATGAAGAATCTGTGCGTTAGCCATGACATCATCCAACTAAAACGGACTTGACACAGGATGGATGGATGTATGGATCCTAACCTCAATCTCCGGCTCTCACCCGGGTTTCCTCCGTGCCCTGACCTGCCTGAGCTCTAGCTCTAGACGGCACAGCCGAATCAGACAGCGCGCCGTCTCGCGTCTTCGCGGTTCTGATTCAGTTCAGCTTCTTGATCTATTGGTGGAAAAGGTGCCGGTGGTTCTCAATCGCTCAATGGACCCATCGCTAAGCTGAAATCGTCGTGGTTCTTTGGTCCAAAAATATGCATCTCCTTCGGCCGATAAAGTCGGGTCAGAGTGATGAAAATTATCTGCCGTAGATTTGTGTTGCAACAAGTCTTGGCATTGGTCTTGGCGTTCAAGCTTTGTTTTAACCTCTTCTACAAAGTTTCAATCAAACTTGATCAGGCCTTGAGTCTTATAAACAACGTCTGTTTTTTCCAGAAACATCAACTCTTAGACAAAACCAACCTAACTCAACTATAATTGAATAGAGTTAACATGTCCGGAACTAGCATTGCCCTGCCAGTCACAGCATCTGCAGCCATGTTCCAGCACATTGTCTAGATTGTCTGATAATTCAGGGTCTGTTGATCGCCGTAACGTTAACCCAACGATTAAAAAAGCTCAGTGTTCGCAACTAGGCAGGTGGTTATTTCCTGCCCGGGCCTGAATGTCACATTCGCTTTGTCCTCCTGGAAGAGCGGAAATGCTGAATTGAGACACGCATCCAAGCGCTCAGAATATTGCTGATGTACCAACATGCATCTGTGCCTCTCCCATGGCAGGAGAAAACTGTACGTAAAGTCTCCAGCTGAAAGTTCCATAATATGTATCAATTGTCAGGAAAGGTCACAGGACGTCATCGCGAAGTCCTGAGTCAAACCTAAGGCTAGCCTTGCTGTAGTCAGAAAAGCTTCTTTTGGATCGTCAGCAACCAAGAAGCCATGCTGAGGGCTGTCGGAGGCTCGGGACCGAATCGGCTCTCCACTTACCGCCACCAAATCTTCACCTTGACTCACCGAAGTCCACCCATGTTGCCCCGGTCTGTCTCCCCCCTCACCGAGCCTCCCCCACCTTGTCCTACCCCACTGTAGCCTAGCAGCAAGCGATTGCTATCCACCAAACCACACGTCAAGTTACAGATAGCTCTTTGTATCCATCCCGCATTGTTTAATAGGTGTGTTTGGGTGTGTATAAGCTATACACAGCTTCGAAATGTCCGAATCAAGCCCTCTGATGGCTTTCTTTGGCCAGATGAGCAACTTGGGTGGCATCGTTATCAAAGGTTCGTTGAGTTGATGTCATCAAAGCCGTGAACACTGGCTTCGAGATGCGCCTCTAGAATAATATGCTGACTTGCATCTCTAGAACAACCAAAGCTCGACCTCGATCTCTATATCCAGAACTACACCGGTCCGTCACCTCGATTGCACTGATGCCACCTCGATGTACCCGTTGACAGCTCGTCTAGGCCGAACAAGAATCGATCGCCTCATCCAAATCGGAAAATCCTCCGTACCACTTTGTATCGACGCGCTGAAGGCTGCTATCACCGAGATTAAAAAAGGCTCAGATGTGTCCCTATACGTTGAAGCTTGGGGCTGTATTCGTGTTGCTGCTCCAGATGACCCCGAAGCCCAAAAAGACCAAGCATGGATTGATAGAGTCGAGCGCGAGAATAAGATCGAAGCCTCACGGCTCGAAACCCAGCTTAAGCAATACCGACACAATTTGATCAAAGAGAGCATCCGAGTGCGTGCAAACTTCAGACCTCTGTGAATATAACCTCCTAACTTTGCTTAGATGGGAAACGAAGATCTGGGTCAGCATTTCGAGAAAACGGGATATTTAGAGGCAGCAGCCGAGGCGTACAACCGCATGCGCCAGGACGTAACCACCACCAAACACATTATTGATTGTGGCATCCACCTCGTTAATGTCTATATCGCTAGACGCGACTGGACCATGGTTCTTAACAATCTGGGTAAGATCGTTGGTGTTCAGAGTGGTGAGGAGGAACGTACCTATCAGCCATACACAAAACTTGTCTCCGGTATTGCGCTCCTTGGTCTTAAGCACTACAAGGATGCAGCCAACAACTTCCTCCAAGTCGACTTCACCGTACCGCCTGCGCAATACAACCACATCGCTAGCCCTAACGACATCGCCGTTTACGGAGGTCTCCTTGCCCTGGCCACTATGGAAAGACAGGAGCTTCAAACTCGAGTCTTGGACAACCAGTCATTCCGCTCATTCCTAGAACATGAATCGCACGTCCGCAAGGCCATCAGCCTTTTTGTTAATGGCAGATACTCAAACTGCCTTGCTATTCTCGAGTCTATTCGAAACGACTGTCTCCTGGACATCTACCTACAGCGCCATGTCTCAACGCTCTACTCACAGATCCGAAGAAAATGCATTGTCCAGTACTTCATACCATTCTCATGCGTCACCCTCGAGAGCTTGAACCAAGCATTTGCGCAGGAAGGAGAGTCAGTCGAGATGGAGCTCGTATCTATGATCCGTGAAGGAACACTCAAGGCCCGTCTAGATATCAAGAATCAGGTGGGCAACCTTTTCTTTTACCATCTAGACCACGCACTGATTCTCAATAGTTGCTCATTGCCGACCAACCCAACCCGAGACTTGAGATGCAGAAGCAGGCACTTGAGGTTGCTACCAAGTACGAGGAGGAGGCCAAGGAGAGACTCCGCCGTATGAACCTCATTGCCGCCGGTCTCGAGGTTGCAGGAAGGGCAAAAGGACCCGGCCTTGGTGGTCGTGAAATAAATGAACAGTGGTACGGTGAGAACAAACCACCGGGACAGCCAGGCGCCGTCGAGGCCTAGAAATTTCGGTGCAGTCATTTAAAATTGTTCGCCTTGGTCCTTTTTGGCTGATTCAAAGGGGAAGCTGGGCGAGCTGGGTATCACAATCTGAACGAATGAACTGCGTATCGCATTACGGCCTAGGCGTTAGGAATTCCTGATTATGGTTATCCGCTTAAGGGTATGGAACTACAATGCGGTAGATTAGATGAGGCGTCAGGAGCATACTTCGAAATAAATCATTCCATCTACTGTTGTTCTTATGCATATGTTTTGATCATTCTTGTTCAAGGGGGTATCATTATTAAGTTCGAGCCCTTGCCTCTAGCTACATACTATTCTTCAGCCCATCAACTGTCGCAAGTCTGTGGGAGGCCATCGCACTTGTGCGAAGGTCAGGCAGCGTTTGATGCTCTGAAGATACTTGCGCGTAACCTCGTCTCCCATTACATGGCCCTTCTCTCCATCGTGTAGCTTCTCGCGAGCGCTACGCTCGTGAATGCCTACCATGGTGACACCGATAGGCCATGCTGCCTTGCCAATACTCAGGCGTAGATATCCGTCGTTGGCATCCACGTAACGACGCTCTTGAAGAGCTTGAACAATTTCTGTAACAGGCTTGAGAATGTCGTCGTCAAGTTCGCCTTGCTCAAACTTGCGGAATAGCTGCAAATTGTTAGTACGCATCTTGTTTCGTAGAATAAGGATGATTTACTGGTTTCATGTTCTCTCGAGTCTGTACCATAGCATTATATGCCGTTTTGCTGGCACTCGTATCCCGCTTCTCAGCCTCCATAGCTCGCTCGTACTCAGTAAGAACCATCGTAAAGTAGCTTGCCAGTTGTCGAAATAGCCACTTCCTGCCTTCCTTGTCTTTCGGTAGTTCAGTAGTCACCTTCATATCTTTCTCATCCACGAGTTCTAACGTTGTCGGTATTGGGCCCTTGGTCATGACTGTCGTCAACTTGCGATATCGTCTCAATTTCGTAGAGTGATTCTCTCCAAACAAGATAGCCGGTTCACCCAACCCCCTCAACTTTTCAACGAGCTCCTCCTCCGGTATATCCTCGCTCGCATGGACACCATCCTCAACGTCTTCGCTCTTAGCCTTGACCAGCTCTGGCAAACCAAGTCGCTTCCTTCGGGCTCGTTCTTCTTCGGCTTCTTGCTCTTCGCGCCTTCTGCGCATATCCTCGGCAAGTTTGCGACGCTTCTCCTCGCGGGCGGCGTTCTCGGCGGCGGCATCTTCCTCTCGTTTGCGCTTGGCGGCTGCTCTGGCTTCGCGCTCGGCCTCCAGCGCTTTTTGTTCAGCAAGGTATGCTTCTTTTCTTTGCGCTTCGATCTCTGAACGTTTCAAGTACTTCTTTTCCTCGGTGCCGGAGCTCTTCTTGCTCTTTGAGAGCTCTTTGTTCATCAGCGCCACGAAATCCATGGTGTCGATTGGATGGCGTTTTTATCAACGTGTTGATGTTCCTGATGCAGGAGCGTTGATTCAAAATTAGAATTGGCCAATGGTTGATATTGGGAGATTGAGAGAATGGTGCCGCTCGGTGTTCGAAAACCTGTTGTCGCAGTCTGTAAATGGTAAGAGTTCACAAATTGTTGATGGAGCGCGAAGTCATGATGGTTTAAGCGGATATAGATCGGTTAATTTGGATACTTTAGTGATGCCTCTCATCATTCGCAACTTGAACAACAAAGCTTCACCATAATAACTGAGTCTCACAATTTTCCCTTTTTCTCTCTTTTCAGTCTTCTAAGATGTCTTCCTCTCCAGAAAAGCCACTACGCGAAGATACAACACCTTTCTTGCTACAACTCTTCTATCGTACAGGATCTCTTCATAGGTATACATGCCCCCTCCCGATATAGATGGCTTTACAGCATAAGAAGTTAATAATGTTTTACTCATAGACCAGATGAATTTGAGTCGCATAGTTTGCCACCACATATACCTGTGTATACATGGGCAGACTGTACGCTGAATGAGTTGGCTCTGGAACTTGCAGGCGCCAAAAAGTCAGCATTGCCTTCACCCTCTATAGGATGTCGTCTTGTATTTCAGTTGGTATTTCCAGATCTTCGAAACACCGCCGCTGTTTCAAATGCTCCCCCAAAATACGGGGTTAAGGACCTCGGCAGCATTGTTTTAGGTGGTGATTCCGGCGCAGACACATCTGGTGATATATCCATGGATGTCACAATAAGAGGCAGTGACGACAAAAACAAGACCCTTAACGAGTGTCGATTTGTAGTTGGCGACTACATAACTTGCGCAATATTACCACCACTCTCGGATGGCTCGGTGGCATCTGCTTCAAGCGTGCGAAGGGAGCAGGCTTCGGGTCCGCATGAAGTCCGAGGGACTCTCCGAGGAGGTCGAGATAACGGTTCTGGCCGTAGGAATCCAAGAGGAGGACGATCTGGCTGGAGGGATGATGTCGGGGGAGATTTCCCAATGGGTGATTGGAGGAGAGGCGAAAAATTACCAGACACCTCCAGTGGGCGATCGAGAGGTAGAGGGAGGTGGTAGCAGACACCCAGTGCTTAGTTTGATAGCGTCACGTTCGATTATACCCATTTTCCATTCAAAGTATCGGACATATCACAATCTCAGCGGCCATTCGTTAATCGTTGACCTCGGTTCAATTGAATCCCTACCATGGGCTCTATCCCAATCAGGGTGCTTTACATATGTACACATCTTGAATCTCCAATGCCCGGTCGATTTATTTCTCGTAAACGAGGTCGCCCTTTCGCTTCGCTCGGAAATCCCAGAGTCCCTTCACTTGTCAGCATTTCGGTGGTCGTCGCAGTCCCTGTTCCTTGACTTACGTCGGTCTTGTAGGCGATGTAGCCCATAATGGAGGGGATTACGGCAACGTAAATGAAGGTGAGCCTGGCAGTTCGGGGCGTCCATCGGAAGTAGTGATGGCGCGTCTTCATCATAGCTATTCACATTGTCAGATTGCGCTCGAGTCGAAGGCGTTGCTGTCAAGGTCGGGGAGAAGTCACGCACCGGCATATTTGAGGTAGGCCGGGTCCGGCTTGACGTCTGTAGAGCAGCGGTTAGCATAGTTCGGAATTATTGGTCTCTATTTGACCTACTGAGGTGCGCCATTTTGATTGACGGTGATTTGTGTCGTGCTAGAGTGGTTTGCGGGACGAATTGGCCGTCGTGATGGTCGGTTTGAGTGATGCTTAACCTAGGACGACGATTGTAGCTTTGATGATTACCTAAGTCTGTGACTTAATTATGGCAGCTACCATTGGGCAGCTAGCATTAGGAAACCTACCCTGTACCTTAGCCATATTTAGCCAGTTATACTGTAATCTTTTTGAAGTATGCTTTTTAGTGATACCTCTATTGGTTTTAAGCATTTTTCATCAATGCTTCGTAGTCTGAATGTTGGTTCCTGCTGGTTTTAGGTGAGGGTGTTGCATGTGACAGTTGTAGCTCATTTGAATGCCAAATATGAATACAACTTACATTCTAGTAATGTTCATAAACATCCTCATTATCAGTCATTGTCGGTGCTATTTTCACAAACGACTCGAAACTTGAAATTGAAGCTACTTGGATTTTCTATTCTTATAATCTGGCCTTTAACTATAAAATGAGTTGTCAAGCTTCCAACTGTAATCGATAGTAAGGTAGTTTAAATAGAGATGCCGGCATAAATGAATGGACAGAAATTAAGAAGAGATTCAGCTGCATAAACAATAAAACCTACCTTAATCAAGCAGTATAGATACCTAGCTAAGATCATAAATAAGTCTTGGATATCATGGATTGCATTCGGTATGAGCCACGACTTATACCCGTGTTGTCAGAGTCACGTGAGAAGACCCACTGAAGCGCGTCTCCCAGGCCATCTCCCAGAATTTATCGTGATGAAGGCAACTTTCTCAAAAGCTCCCTACCATCTACCCCTGGTCGTGCCTGCTCAAAATCTGCGCGACCAGCATCAATTTCATCACCAAATAACGGCGACAAACCAGCTATTACTAATATTAATACCGATAGCGCTTTGGAACCGGTAGCGTGACTAATCACGCGCAACGGCGCTCAGCCTAATAGCGACAGCTTCACGATCCTTTCCTTTCTCTTGAGCGCATCAAGAAGCAATCATGTCGCACCTTCCTCCACCTCCTCCCCCAGGATGGGGACCTCCTCCTCCGCCTCCGCCATCGTCTTCTCTGCCTCCTCCTCCCTCGACTCCAGCTCCGCCACCACCAGGTTATCGCCCTCCGACCGATCCTCAGATGGCGAAATTTGCCCAGAAGAAGAAGGAATGGGTGAAATCCCAGCGCAACCGGTTCGGTGAGAAGCGGAAAGGAGGATTCGTGCAGACTCAAAAGGCCGACATGCCTCCGGAACATCTGCGCAAGATCGTCAAGGATATCGGAGATGTTTCCCAGAAGAAATATACGAATGATAAGAGAAGCTACTTAGGAGCCCTCAAGTTCATGCCACACGCAGTTCTGAAGCTCCTTGAAAATATGCCGATGCCATGGGAATCGGCACGGGAAGTCAAGGTGCTCTATCATGTAAACGGGTGCTTAACTTTGGTCAACGAGATCCCGCGTGTTATCGAACCTGTTTTCTTTGCGCAGTGGGCTATGATGTGGACGTTTATGCGCAAAGAAAAGGCCGACAGAAGACTATTCAAGCGTATGCGATTCCCGCCTTTCGATGACGAAGAGCCTCCCCTGTCGTGGGCGGAAAACTTGGAGGATGTTGAGCCACTTGAGCCGATTCAGATGGAGTTGGATGAGGAAGATGACGAAGCCGTATATGAATGGTTCTATGACCACAGACCCCTTCTAGATACACCGCACGTCAACGGTCCAAGCTACAAGGCCTGGAACCTCACACTACCTCAGATGGCGACCCTTTTCCGTCTGAGTCGACCACTTGTTTCTGACGTCGTTGACAAGAACTACTTCTATCTCTTCGACCTCAAGAGCTTGTTAACAGCCAAGGCTCTTAACGTCGCCCTTCCTGGCGGTCCTCGTTTTGAACCACTGTACAAGGATATCGACCCTAACGATGAAGACTTCGGCGAGTTTAATGCGATTGATCGCATCATCTTCCGAAACCCCATCCGAACCGAGTTCAGGGTCGCCTACCCGTACCTCTATAATTCGCTACCAAGGAGTGTTCATTTATCGTGGCACTCACACCCCCAGGTCGTATTCAATCGTGCGGATGACCCTGATCTCCCGACGTTCCATTTCGATCGCCGCATCAACCCCATCTCTTCGCGAACCGTTGCACCCAAGAATGTTGAGGTTTCCCACGAGGACGAAATATTTGGCGCCGGCAACATTGAGGAGTCCGAAGATGATGCTTTTGAGCTTCCAGCTGGAGTCGAGCCGTTCCTTGCCGACGAGGATATCGAGAATGAGAACACATCATCTGCTGTCGAACTTTGGTGGGCACCTTATCCATTTGACCGACGATCTGGACGCATGGTTCGAGCACAAGATGTGCCTCTAGTCAAACAGTGGTACCTCGAGCACCCTCCCTCCGATCGACCTCCAGTCAAGGTCCGAGTCTCATACCAGAAGCTCCTCAAGAATTTCGTATTGAATGAACTGCACAAGAAGAAGCCAAAGGCGCAAAACAAGCAGAACTTGATGCGATCCCTCAAGCAAACCAAGTTCTTCCAGCAGACAACCATCGATTGGGTCGAGGCTGGTCTGCAGGTTTGTCGCCAGGGTTTCAATATGCTTAACCTCCTTATCCACCGCAAGAACTTGACATATCTTCACCTCGATTACAACTTTAATTTGAAGCCCGTCAAGACCTTGACCACCAAGGAGCGAAAGAAGTCTCGTTTCGGAAACGCTTTCCATCTCATGCGAGAAATCTTGAGGCTTACAAAGCTTATCGTTGATGCCCAAGTTCAGTACAGACTTGGAAATATTGACGCCTTCCAACTTGCAGATGGTATCCTTTACGCCTTCAACCACGTTGGTCAGCTCACGGGTATGTACCGATACAAATACAAACTGATGCACCAGATTCGAACTTGTAAGGATCTGAAGCATCTTATTTACTACCGATTTAATTCTGGACCCGTCGGCAAGGGTCCTGGATGTGGTTTCTGGGCTCCCGCTTGGAGGGTCTGGCTTTTCTTCATGCGAGGTATCATTCCTTTGCTTGAGAGATGGTTAGGAAATCTTTTGTCTCGTCAATTTGAGGGTCGACATAGCAAGGGAGTTGCAAAGACCGTCACTAAGCAACGTGTGGAGTCTCATTTTGATTTGGAGCTCCGCGCATCCGTTATGGCTGATCTTATGGACATGATGCCCGAGGGTATCAAACAGAACAAGGTCAACACCGTGCTTCAGCATTTGTCTGAGGCCTGGAGATGCTGGAAGAGCAACATCCCCTGGAAGGTTCCTGGCCTGCCTGCTCCTATTGAGAATATCATTCTCCGATACGTCAAGTCCAAGGCCGATTGGTGGATCTCAGTTGCCCACTACAACCGTGAGCGTATTCGACGAGGAGCTACTGTTGACAAGACTGTCGCCAAGAAAAACGTTGGTCGTTTGACTCGACTTTGGCTCAAGGCTGAGCAAGAACGCCAGCATAATCACATGAAGGATGGCCCTTACGTGTCCTCCGAAGAAGCCATTGCCATCTACACCACCACCGTGCATTGGCTTGAGTCTCGCAAGTTCTCTCCTATCCCCTTCCCAAGTGTTTCTTACAAGCACGACACCAAGATTCTCATTCTTGCGCTTGAGCGCCTGAGGGAGGCATATTCAGTGAAGGGCCGTCTCAACCAAAGTCAACGAGAGGAACTGGCCTTGATTGAGCAAGCGTATGATAGTCCTGGAACCACATTGGAGCGTATCAAGCGTTTCTTGCTTACCCAGCGAGCTTTCAAGGAAGTCAACATCGACATGAACGACAACTACAGCACCATCAACCCTGTCTATGATATTGAGCCTATCGAGAAGATTAGCGATGCTTACCTGGATCAATACCTTTGGTATCAAGCAGATCAGCGACATCTTTTCCCTGCCTGGATCAAGCCATCAGATTCCGAGGTCCCGCCTCTGCTTGTTTACAAGTGGGCACAGGGTATCAACAACCTCGACCGTGTGTGGCAGACTGAGAATGGCGAATGCAATGTCATGATCGAGACGGAACTTTCCAAGGTTTACGAAAAGATGGAGCTCACACTTCTGAACTCTCTACTCAGGCTGATTATGGACCACAATTTGGCGGATTATATCACGGCCAAGAACAATGTTCAGCTCACCTACAAGGACATGAACCATGTCAACAGTTATGGCATGATCCGTGGCTTACAGTTCTCTGCGTTTGTGTTCCAATTCTATGGTCTTGTGTTGGACCTTCTGCTTCTGGGTCCTCAGCGAGCCAGTGAAATTGCTGGACCACCTCAAAGCCCCAACGACTTCTTGCAGTTCCGTGACCGAGAGACCGAGTCCAGTCATCCTATCCGACTCTACACTCGATACATCGACAAGGTTTGGATCTTCCTCAGATTTACTGCTGAGGAGTCTCGAGACCTCATCCAAAGATTCCTCACCGAACAACCTGACCCTAACTTTGAGAACGTTATCGGATACAAGAGCAAGAAGTGCTGGCCAAGAGATTCTCGCATGCGCCTGATGCGCCATGATGTGAACCTCGGACGAGCTGTCTTCTGGGACCTGAAGAACCGTCTGCCTCGATCCGTAACAACGATTGAGTGGGATGATAGCTTTGTCAGCGTTTACAGTCGTGATAACCCCAACTTGCTCTTCTCTATGTGTGGTTTCGAAGTCCGCATTCTCCCCAAGATTCGCAACCAGAATGAAGAATTCCCTGTTAAGGATAGTGTGTGGTCTCTTGTCGACAACACCACAAAGGAGAGGACAGCCCACGCTTTCCTGCAAGTCACCGAGGAGGATATTCAGAAGTTCAACAACCGTATCCGACAGATTCTCATGTCATCGGGCTCTACAACTTTCACCAAGATTGCCAACAAGTGGAACACGGCGTTGATCGCCCTCTTTACTTACTATCGCGAGGCGGCTGTATCGACCGTCGACCTTCTTGATACAATCGTCAAGTGTGAGACCAAGATTCAAACTCGCGTCAAGATTGGTCTGAACTCCAAGATGCCTTCTCGTTTCCCCCCTGCCGTCTTCTATACCCCCAAGGAGCTTGGTGGTCTGGGCATGATTTCGGGCTCACATATTCTCATTCCTGCCAGTGATAAGCGTTGGTCAAAGCAAACCGACACTGGCGTTACTCATTA